AAGCCTTGTTTGTGCGATTCAGATACATTATACTTGTCGATCAAAAGACTGATGTGACCTACTCCCTGCACCATTTCTTCCATTCCTCTGTTTGTTCCTTTGTATCTGTGTCGTGCTTGGGAATCATCATAGAGGCATCCGTTTCCGGAAGATGATACGGGACCGCTGTAAGATATCACCCAGATTATTATTATCTTGGGCGCTCGAGTTTGGTTGATCAGGCTGATACTCAGGCGGCGCGTATTAGACGTGTATCAAGGCGCGGAGCTTGCTTGGCTCAAGGGCTTAGGCGCCAAGGCCACCATGCAGGATATTGTGAGAAAACCTCATCCTGTTACCGCTATGTCGAATCAAGCTGAGCAGGATGATTCTAACAACGAATCCAAACCTGACACCAGATCCAACCATAACTTGGACCCGCGCATTCATATAGGACCACCGGCGTTTTTACGAAGTATGAACATGGATAATGGGGTATCGTTTAAGAGTCAAAACAATGCTTGGGTGCGGTTCCATCTTGGCATCTGTTTATGTCGATGCTGCAGTTACTCGAGCACGTGACTTTGCCACTCTCAGTGAGGGGTTATCTCCTGACGACTGGGATTCATTGCCATCATGACTTGGTAATCAGTAGGATAACCAGAATCAGCGACTACCTAGATAATTCTACTTATAAAGATGTCTGATTCTAGCCAGCTCTTCAACTTCAATGTTTGCAATACATACTCTTAAAACTCTGTCTGAGCCATAAAGCTAATGATCGATAGCCCACGGCTACGGGCGGCTCTGTGAGCTTTCTCTCTCTCCCCGGCGAACTTCGAAACACGATATACGAAATCATTTTACTGCAGTCCGAGCCTATCGATCCTTGGCTCAGATATGGTTTGCAGGTCCCAACAGGGCTTTTTTGCGTTAGCAAGACAGTCCACCGCGAAGCCAGCCTGCTATTCTACAGCCAGAATCGCTTCGACTTTAGTGGACGTGATCCTGAGAAATTGGCCTCGTTCCTCCAGCAAATTGGTCCCCGCAACGCAAATTCCATTCAACATATCGTAATCGACTTCCCGGAATTCCTCTATCTAGACCCGGGCGATGTTACTATCGAGGAGGAAAGCCTCAGAATCCTCGGAAGCATTGTGAGCAACTGCACTGGTTTGATCACGCTTAGGACGTCCTTGTACAGTACAAGTAGCATGGAACTCAGGCTTGACAATCTGGACCACTACAGCCTTGCAACTGAGGCACTGCATCTTGTCGACACTCACTTCAGAGCTATACCTTCTCTATCAGAGATCATTCTTGAGGTATATGACGATGGACCGAGTGATTGTCTGAGAAAGAGAATGGAGAGTTATGGATGGATACTAAGCAAGAATGCTGCTGAGGAAGAAGAGTTCTGGGACAGCAGGTTCAGTGATCTTGACTTTGATGATTATGGCTATGGCTATGGCTATGACTATGATGACGATGATGATTATGATATCGATAATGATAGCGATTTCTGGAGAAGGGCCGCAGACTAGAATGTATATATTTCTCGGACTTTTTATCATCATAGCCCTACTATACTAAAATACAATTACAACCGCGACGCCCTGGTCAGCAGGATACTATTTTGGCGACTGTAGGCCTACGTGCGCCCGAATAGGTGATTGTTGTTCTGGCAGGATGCTACCCTTGACACAAGGCTTTCGGGTATTACTTCAAGTTAAGAATATGGACATTCCATGATATATAGTCAGTATGAAAATTCCATTCTAATAAACTTGCTTACGCCGTCATGCCCTTTGTCCTTCCATAATAGATAAGTTTCGATCCAGGCCGGACAGCTCAGAGTGAACAATAGGACGTCTAAGTTTTTTAGTCTTAATTTTATCTTTCTTTAGGCAATTCGACAATACTTTGCAAGCCACCCCCTGAATTCGAATGTTTAAATAAGCATAAAATGAGTTAAGAACTTAGATAAAAAAGCTACAGAATTGTAATCCGAAAATCTATATTCCTGGCCACAGAGGTTTAATTCTCTTGGGTGTTGTTTGATGCTCATGCCAGCGTATGAACAGATCATACGACAAAGATTTTGTTTTCTGGATGGTTTCCCGCACTTGTTTCTCATCCACCAAGTCTGAATGGTTGTAAAAGAAATCAACGA